TGTAATTAATTCGTAAATTCATTAAATTCTCTTCTACTTGTTTCTCCTGTGTACATTTTTTAGCGGTAACGATTTGCTTTCTCCCTAGAATACAACAGATTAGATTTATTAACTATACAATATAGAATACAACAGACTAGGGTTTCCATAAAGACTTTTGGACATTATATACGGACAAGTGAACACTTATTATTCATGAACTTTTATAGGACGCAAATAATAGCATCGGAATCAACAAAATATAAACAAAACATTCACTTTCTAGGAGTGCACCAAAAGCGACAAATTTGAGCGCCAAAGTATAGAAATGGGTATTTTCGATGACATGCGTCGGTTAAGTAGATATACAGGGTGTCCCAGGCTGAGCGTGCATTAGAAGTTTCTAGAGAACCACAATATCTAGATTGGAGATTTTTGCATATCATTGATTTACAACGAGATCTATCGATTAAAAATATTTTCAATATGGCGGCACTTCCGGAAATACCGGAAGTTGACAGCAACTTTCTTATTTTAAATAGGTGCCCTCACTTTTTATTACATACTTAAATTCTCTGTAAAATTTTATGAATATTGATGTTAAACACTCTATATCTAACATTAACCGTTTTTGAGAAAAAAAAATATTTGAAATTTTTGGACGAAAAAAACTACCTGTCAAAAAATTTGTATAGTCTAAAAGTCAACTTTTATGATTACCACAGCCACTGTGACATAAAGAGAAGACATGTGGCTATCTATTTCAAAAATTAAATTCCTCAAATGTCATATAATCATGGCGGTAGCTGTCAGGGAAATGAGTGACTAAAAATTTATCATAAATCATTTTTTTCAAATGGAAATTCCCTTTTTTTATTTCACTAATGAAACGGTTTTTCAATTCGTTACTTTTTAACTATACATGTTCCTATACCTAAAATAAATCGTTTTTAAGTTATTTAAGATTTAGTTTGAAAATGTATATTTTTCCTCATTTCATCTAGCTTCCTTTGACATTAAGTGTCAAACGTTCAGACAATTTATTTCCATCTGTCCGAAAACGAATTATTTGAATTTCCTATAGTATAAATACTGCCTGCCTTAAGAATTTAAAAAGTTTATTTATAAAAAAATATATCTCGTATTTTCGCTCTTTAATGATATCTAATAAATTAGCAAGGACAATTCCGTATGATCGAAAAAAAAACAGCGCAAAGTTGGCCCGAAAATGATTCTGCTTTTTGAACAAAGCATCACAATATGACATGGCTAGATCTATTATTTTACTTCACTTGACGTTTAAAGTCATAGGCTACTGGTTAAAATCAAGAAAAATATACGCTTTAAAACTAAATCTTAAATATCTTAAAAACGATTTATTTTAGGTATAGGAATATGTATAGTTAAAAAGTAACGAATTGAAAAGCCTTTTTACTAGCGAAATAAAAAAAGTGGGTTTCCATTTGAAAAAAATGATTTGTGATAATTTTTAATCGCTCAATTCTATGGCAGCGGCGGCCATTATTATATGACATTCGAACAATTTAATTCTTGAAATAGATAGCCACTTGTTGTCTTTTTATGGCACAGTAGCAGTGGTAATCACTAAATTTGACGTTTAGGCTATACACATATTTTTGACAGGCAGTTTTTTTCGTTCAAAAATTTTAAATATTTTTTTCTCAAAAACGGTCAATGTTAGATATAGAGTGTTTAATATCAAGATTCATAAAATTTTACAGAGAATTTAACTACATAATAAAAAATGGGGGCACCCATTTAAAATAAGAAACTTCCTGTCTACTTCCGGTATTTCCGGAAGTGCCGCCATATTGAAAATATTTTTAATCGATAGATC